CTCCCTGCTTCAATACAGCGGTAGCGTGCCTTCGGTCTCGGCGAATGCTCTCTCAAGGATTGCGAGCCCATCTTCCACCTGGCTCTCCGTCACTGTAATAGGAGGCGCAATTCTAAATGTGCCACCAAAGCTTGGATGACTGCTCAAGTTCGCCCAGAGCCCAAGCTCGTATGCGCGGTTTCCAACTCTTTTGGCCAGTTCCAAAGCCGGCCTTTTGCTCTCTCGGTCCGTCACAATTTCAACGCCCGCCATGAGGCCTCTCCCGCGCACTTGGCCAATGCAGCCGTACCTGCTGTGTAGTTTCTGCAACCCGTTGTGCAGTATCTCGCCGCATTTTCTCGAGTGCTCTATCAGATTATCCCGGAACAGGATCTCGAGGACCTTGTCACCAACAGCAGCCGGGAGAGGATCGTTGACATGGGTGGTGTAAAAAAAGAAGCCCTTCTCCGCGGCTACACTGGCAACCTCATCGCTGGTCACCACCGCACTCAGGGGTAGACCGTTACCCAGGGTTTTGGACAAGGTTAATATGTCCGGCACGACGTTCTCGTGGTTGATGGCCATAAAGTCCCCGCATCTGCCGACGCCCGTCTGAGCCTCATCGACGATCAGGAGCATTCCTCGCATCTCGCACTGCTTTTTCAAAGCCTTCAGATATCCCGGTGGGAGAACATGCATACCGCCCGAGCTTTGGATGCACTCGACAATGCAAGCGGCTAGAGAGCCGCACGACTGCAAGTCAATCATCCTCCATCCATATTCCAATTCTGCCTCCCAGTCATAGGAGCCATTGGGTTTGCGGAAAATGGACCTGTATGCATTGGGCGCGGGCAGCATGTGCATGCCTGGCATCAAAGGTCCATGACCTCTTCTGCCAAAATGATACTGCGCGCCAAGTGCCTGTGCCGTCACTCCATGCCATGAAGCCCCAATGCCAACTATTTCAAACTTGCCCGTATATGTCTTGGCCATCTTGATGGCGGCTTCATTGCTCTCTCCTCCGGTGGAGAGAAAGAAGGCTTTGTCTAATCCAGCTGGGAGAGCGTTGCAAAGTCGATCCGCAAGTGAGATCACTGGAGGCGAGACCATGCCAGAGAAGAGGTGATCAAGCTGCATTGCGTGATCGGTAATGACTTTGACAATCTCTGGATGCCCGTGGCCAAGGAGGCAAGACATTTGCCCTGACGTCCAGTCCAACAACTTGTGACCTGATGCCGTGTAGATGTATAATCCACGACAGCCAGTAATGACATCAGGCTCGAACTTGGTACCATAATCAAGGAGGTGTTTCTTAGACTTGGCCACAAGGGCCTTCTCATCAATATTTTGGTACAATGTTGGTGGCATGTCTTCTTCTATAGGGAAGACCATCATAGAGGTGCTGGCCATGTCCTTTGTGACAATCCCCGGGGCCATTTCGAGTTGTAAGTAAATAAGCGTCGATCAGAAATAATTGCTTGGGCTTGAAAGAAATGGAGGTGTACTAAACATGATGAATGGATTAGAAAGACTCCTACCTGCGGAGCCTTTTATAACCGGTTCACAACATTGCTGCCGGCGTGGACATGAACGGCCAAGAACGCATTTATCAGGTCCACAGGATGTTCCCCGCGGGCAACTTTGGCCGCGGCAGGACAAGTCGACATGTCCCCCCCTCCACACTGCCTCACTACCATCATTATGCAAGGTGACGAGCGTGTTCTGTCACCATGCATTCTGTAAAGGGTCCCAGAGGCTTGGGAAGTATTGATCCAGGATAGATGCATCAGGCATTGAAAATTCTTGAATATCCATATTGTTGTCACTCTCTTCCTCTCTGGCCACACCACCCAGTATTCTATCCACAATCTCCGCATGCTGTGCTACACAGATATCAGCCAGATCCCACTCGAACTGCTTCTGATATTTGCGGAGAGTGGCCACAATGTCCTGAGCGATTCGAAAAGAACTGCTCCGTGCCAATCCTTGGAGAGAGCTTTCCATTTCTAATGCGCAGCGCAGAAGGAAATTGACTGTGGCGGGAAAGGCAAAGGCTGTCACCGGCAACCAGAAACCGCCGAGCTGCTCGGCTTGTAGTTCTTGGAGGAGGAGGAGTATTTCCTCTGCAGTACGCCGCGCTTGTATGTAGCGATTCATAATTCGCTCATTGAGTTGGTCGTAAATGCGCTTCTCGGCTTCCAGCTCCATTCTTTGGAGGAGAAGCCTGGTCGTGAGATATGCCAAGCGGAGGTTGGCCGCACCCGGGATTTCGAGTCTGGAGCCGCGAATAACTATAAGACGACAACTTCCAGTCAAGGACTCGACCCAATTGTTCAATGCCAGCTCCAGGCTAGCTGTATCCCATGGCCGATTTCCGTCAACGGCATACACGCGTTGTAGATGTTGGTCCAAAACATCAGTCAGTCGAACCAGTGCTATGAACACGTTTGCTGTTCGTACTCGTGCTTCACTGGAATCACCCTCACAAAGACACTCTAGTGTCGGAAGGGGAACATCATATTGTATCCTTGAGATATGGGGCGGTGTGCCATGAGCCAAACTCAGCCTGGTGCCGTGTTAACAAGATGAAAGACGCTCAGAATCGGACTGTAACATACCATCTATCATGAAGCAGTAATGACCACCATAATTTCATTCTTAAATATTTCTCAGACTGCGGTATCTTCCACGGTAATGGATTATGGTTGAGTCCCAGGGAATGAGCCATGGATACAGCTGAGCCTAACAGCACCCCGTTCCCAATGATTGACGTGGTTGGTCGCCCGCTTATGTTGAGCAGAATCGCTTTGATTATAGATATCCCTGGAGATAGGTAAAGCTCAGAATATACGGCTTCATTGGCAAGGTTCCATATAAATCGGTCATCAGGACATTTATTGCCAATGAGCGTAGGGGAATGGCGCCAATAAACCAAGGTGTGGGCATATAAACAAGATAGCAGAGCTGGTGAAATACGAGTCTTGTCTTCAAGATATTGGTCGCGAAAGGACTGCTCGTCCAATAGTGGAAGACACTCGTTGGCCTTGGTGAAATACCTGTGTCTAGAGTCAGTCGGTATCGACATTAATTGGGTCTACACTGTGATTTCAACACACTCGTTGATAATGTCATCAACGAAAGGCTCCAAAATCTTTTCAATGATAGCCAGCTTTTCCGCAGATGGGCTTTTATTCACGGCCAAACCCACCGGACGCTTCTGGACCATTGTAAATAGCACCGGTTGAGAACGACCCGCGGATTCCGGAATGATCATCCTAGTACTCCTGGTCGCTCCAGGAATTCCTGATAGATAATCGGATAGCACCTGCTTGTCATTTGTCACTGCGGGTCCAACGATATGCATGGTGTGATGATCCTGATGAGTAGAGTCAAGCTCCAGTGGCTCTTGGTCTTGTTGAACATGGCCGCCGATTCCGCGGGAAAGGGCATGCGGGTTGAGAATGGGCTGCGGACTGGAAGGCTCAACGGGTGCCGGATTCTGACTTGTGAATGCTGCTGCAGGGTGGCTCAAGCCGGAGTCCTCATGGATATGCACCAAAGCCGTTGAGCTTTTGCTGCTGGAATCTCCCGACTCCCGTGGGCGTCGTCTTGACAAAGAAACGTTTTGGCTTGCATCTCTCCGGCGAGGATGTCGGTTCGGTCTTGGGCAGGCCTCGGCGTCTGGGCTATCCGGAAATACGCATTCCGTTCGATGAGCCCGACAAGTCACACAGGTGTCTGAGAACGCTTCGGTTTGACATCTTGACTTTCGGCGTCGACAAGGCAAGCAGGCAGGGCGTAGATGGGAGCGATATGGCCGTTCCGATTGCCTCGATGGCAACATTGTTCGTGGCTATGCGGTTGCATGACTTGGCCCAAGGCTTGGCCATGAGCATCTCTCAATAATAACCCTCAATACAGATAATGCTTGTTCTGGACGGCCAGGCAAAATCGTGCAGTTTTCCGCGGGGAACTAAAGTGGCTGCGTGGACTGCACACGAGTCAAAACGGCACCAACATAATGCAGCGCCAGTGCCCCATCACTATCCACACATCCATCCATACTGGAGAGAAGTTGGCCGTGAAGAAGCATCTGACTGTAATTCATGATAGCTGGGCAGATTGTCCCCAGTTCGACTGGACTCTGGTCACCGATTCGATGCCGACAAACGATGGCTGGGCCATGCTGTGAGGAAGGCGCGCTTGACGATCCTGCCGAAGCTGTCTCGCACTCGGGTTGGCAAGCAAACAGGCAGAGAAGCTAACACTGTTGCCTTTCTCTTACATATCAATCTGGGATTCACTCCCGATAGCACCGCATCTTTAATCTCTCCACTGATTGTTCGTAAAGCGAGGTTGTGAGGTAATCTGACATGGTGTGCCTGCTGACCAGTTGAGGCTCGATTTATTCCATGGCGGAACATGTAGACCAGGATTGGTCTCCCTAGCAAAGAACACTTCCATATCAATATGCAATGGATGCCCAAAACGGTTGGTCAATTTTGGATAATGGCACAATCACATCATTTCTTTTTCTTCTTGTTCTTGACAAATATACCTGGCGGCAAGTGACGGCTTTGGGCCGGAACACTTCCGTCTATTTCACACTTGATCCTCAATTACAAAGCAACGACGATATTTGCGGAACTCGGAAGGAAATAGGAACGAACTAATTCTGAACGGGTATTTTATTCGTTACCGAATTTTACGTCCCCCTTACCCCTCATTCACAAACAATAGAGGTAGGCTGGGGATAAGGTGGGGGAGTGATGAATAGAGTAGTATCCAAGAGGGTACGGACTTCGGAGGCACGTACAATATTAAGGGCTCACATTGACACCTTCCCAGAGAAATATGTATAAAACCCCTGTGCCTCTCTGATGTGCGACGTGCCAGATGCAAGGTTAGATGACGGGTTTTGGACGCTTTGATAGCCGGCCATCTGAGTTCTCCCAAAGAACCTCTTCCAAAGAAGCATCATATTTCAAGTCTATGAAGACGGAGCGGCTTCAGAGAACGACATGTCGAGCGCAGAAGGCTCTAAATTGCCGAATGGAACATGTCCACAGAGCACCAAGCCGTTTGAAAAGGTTGGAAAATACAAGCCGACGACGCGTGTTGTTTAACTCCCATCAACTGATAGCAACAGGTCTTGATCGTGGGAGCCGGTCCGGCTGGCCTCTTACTCGCTATACTTCTCGCCCGAAGTCATATCCCGTCGACAGTATTAGAATCATGGGATCGTGTGGATGAAAGATTGCGCGCAACACAATACGGCGTTCCAGCGACGAGGGTATTTCGACGAGCAGGTATCCTTGATGATATCCGGTCAGAAAGCATCACGCACTTTCCGTACATCTGCTGGCGTAGTGTCCGGACCGGTCAATTTCTTACTGGAATAGACCTGTCCGTGGTCAAAGCCGATAAAGATCGCATGACGATACTACCACTGAATGAGATTTTGCAAATTATGTTGCGACATTGCCGAGAAAAATATTCTGATTATGTCACATTGCTTTTCAACCACAAGGTTGTTAACATCGATCAGGACTCAAGGTCAGCAACAGCGGTGGTCGAGGTTGGCGGTCAAGACGGAGTCAAACGCACCGTGACATTTGAGGCATCTTACATTATTGGGTGTGATGGTGGGCAGAGCACCGTTCGAAAAACGCTATTCCAGAGGAATTGGCCTGGTGAAACGTTTGAGAGTCGCCTGCTTGTTCAAAATGTAAGTCACTTGTTAATTAACTAGTATATTATTCACGAAAAGGAAAACGCCTGCCTCCGCTTTATTCAGATTCAAGCGAAATAAACTAACCCCTTTCCCCAGGTATACTACAAAGGGTTTGCAGACAGTGGTTGGGATGGTGGCAACTACATGATAGACGACGAATTCTGGGGTCTCATTGCCAAACGAGGCAAGGCCAAAGGGCCAGAGGGTGAGCTCTGGCGAGTTACATATGGCGATTCGGCCGCCAATCTATCGGAAGAAGAATATCTGAAGCGCCGCGAACTCGCATTCAAGAAGATGCTTCCTGGACATCCGGATCCCAGTCAGTACAAGGTGAAGCAGACGGACCAATTCCGCATCCACAATCGATGCGTAGAAAAGATGCGTGTCGGCCGAGTTTTCCTCGCGGGCGATGCTGCTCATGTCTGCAATCCTTTTGGCGGATACGGCTGTATGGCTGCGGTTTTGGATGTGGCGGGCCTCGCGGACTGTCTCATCGGATACTATGAGGGCAAGGCCGATGAGGACATTCTTGACGCTTACGCGGAAATCCGGCGAGAGAAGTTCCTTCAGTTTATCGACCGGCGGTCTAGGAAAAACTTGAATCGAATCTCCAAGACAAACGCAGACACTGCGCTTGAGACGGACCCATTTCTAGCATTGCTGAAAGGCATGGAAGGCAATGCTGACGAGACGAAGAAATTTCTACTGGTACGTATTCCTCACCAGGATGCCCTTTCCCCCAAGGGATATTATCAAACAGCCTAACAGCCAAGGTAGAAGGTTAGCAGCATCGAGTTTGACTTTACCACGCTGTATAAGAACCCTGTGGCAGCATGAGACGAGGCGTCAGACTTTAAACTGAAGGGTTCCCAATTACTGCGTTTAATTTTTAAAGACCTGGATTGTTTTGAGAAGAAATGGTATGCTTACATCAAGCTCAACTTTATCCACATAGAAAGAACATGTTCAATCTTGTATACTCTTTTTGTCTTGAATTTGCAAGTTACCGAAGTTGACGTGGGATGTCCCGTAGTAGCAAGAACCTTATTACTATCAAGGTCTATCCAAATCAGCCGTAATAGCGCACGGATTATCTGATGCCTCCAACCTGACCAGACACTGCCATATTTATCCTGACTTCTATCCCTCGCGACCAATCCAGCCCTATCTTCCTCGGCATGGCATTGTACATCATATCAGATTTATCACCAGATCATCTCTCTAGGACCTATCAACTTCTCACCTAGCTCTCCTTTCGAATATAGTGAGCGGATGCTAGTAAGGGATCTATTCTACGAGGTTCTTCGGCATTGGGAAAACACACACCACACCCCAGTATACGGTCAGCGAAGTAAGTTTTTCACTCGCAGGTATTAATAGCCTGGTATCAGAAGAAAAGCTAAAATAGAGAGTTATTAGTATACACTACAACTGTTCTTCCAAATGAAAAGTAGGACAAATCCACTCTTGTCGACAAAGTCAGAGAATCTCCAAATTCATCCTTGCCTTGTTCCAATACGCAGACCTGCATGGTGGAAGTGAACTTCTGCAATGCAACGGTGGCTGGCGACGTCATCAACGCACCACCCCGGGAACTTGTCGAAACACATTTCCATAGTACTATTTATGCTCTATTTTTCGTCTCTACCGTCTTCCAGAACATGGTTTGATAATACAAAACCTGGCGCGTTTAGAGGTGTGCATGGCGCCTCGGCGTCCACACCTTTGCATATTTCGTCGGAGCGCCTCCGGATGATGCCCAGTTCTATCTGCACATTCTCATGACATTTCTACTGCTGCAGGTGGTGCTTGGCCTGCTGCATCGGGACGTCCGGGCAGCATCATGTGAGGCGGCTGGCGATGTCACCCCCGGTGCCGCTTTTGCTGCTGCTGCTCCTCAGCTGCTGCCAACGTCAGCTCGGTGCTGGCCGTTTGGCAGGTTTCAGTTGGGCATGGCATCAATATTCAAGGATTTGGACCGTGCTCGAATACGTGGAACAATACATGGCACGGATCACCTTTGTTTGTGTCTGGGTGTAGAGACTGGAGCATCTAGACTGTTCGTAGCATCATGGCTCTTGTCCGCGTGAGTCAGTGACCATATAATGGGCTCCGAGTCCATGCCAAAGTCGAGAGGCACTACATGCGGCCAGGGAAGTGGTATTCTCGCTTTTTGTTCAACTGTTGCTCGATTCTTGTGTCAAACGATTCTGCGAGCCACAGGTCCCAGCTATAAAACAGGCCCATTTCACAAAGAAAGGCGACACATTGACGGTGCTTAATACCCCCGTTTTCCTATATTGTGCATGTTCAAGGCCCGTGACCTTGTTCAATCAACCAACATGAATACCTCCTTTCAACAATCCAGCATGCGGCCCGTGCCCAACACAGACAGAGCCGCTCTGACAAGACTCGTACCGATGTGTAGACATCATGACAAATACTCGCCCGAATACAATGATAGCCATTCGATTTACCCCGTTCCAATCATTGCCTTTGCCAGAGGCCGTCGGCTGGTTGGCCATCCAGGTTGTACTGCGGTGTGAATATCTTGCGGACAAGTCGACCTGCTCGAGGGGTGTCTTTTTGACAAGAGAGGAAAGAAAACGACTGCCCCCAATCAGAAGAGTCTTTGGAGGCGTTGGTCGATGCTCGCTTTCTCCGGGCACTACATACATGAGTGCCAAGTGTCCATATGTCTTGCCGTGGTGTCCGGCATCTGTTTGCAAATGTCAACGGCGTGGTTTGGACTCGCATCGAATTCGCATTGAAACACGGCCACTTCCCGATTGGCACATATGCTGACTGCCACTGAAGACCGAAAAGACCGTCTGATCCCGGTGCAATTGCGCATGGGCTGCCTACCCAGGTAGCCTCTTCGCATGAAGGCTGCGTCAAGCCCCTCCCATCAGCTCCGTTGTTCTCAGCCACGCGCGTGCGGCGGTCGGCACGAGAAGCTCACGAGTCCGCGATGATGCGTCGAGCCAGTACGATCTTTGGATCCGTAAATTGTTCCTCGAGTCTGGTCTGGTCCCTGCATGTACACTATTGCCTACATGGCGCACACACGCACACACGCACGGCTGAACAGAGTACATACAAGTTCAACACTTTATCCGGGTGCTCAGTGCTCACCCACCTACCTACCTAGGTACCTACCTGATTAGGCAGTGCAGGCAGGTACTGCATCGTTCTTGCCTTGGACGCAATTGTCGGGCGTAGAAAAACGTCCGCGTTCATTCTCTTAAGCCATTTGTTTCATCTCCAGACCTGGTGTTTCATCCCATCATCTTGGCTCGCCTCGCCTCTCCTCACCTCGCTGCCAACTTTTAGGAAATCATCAAAATATCATCGCATCAACAACCGGGGCAGCGCTAATTACTGCAGCATTGTTTCGGCCACGACTAAGACGTGCTAGTGCCAGCCCGTCGTTACTGGCCGCTGCACTTGATGCCGGGACGGCCAGACATTGCTTCTGGAGTAAGACACGGCCAGCGCAAAGAGGCGAAGTGGTGAATCAGTGACGGGGTTCGGCTCTCATCACTCAGCCCCCCCTGAGGATTTAAATCCCCATCACCCAGACGGCAAAATTCATCAAAAGTCATACCAAATGCGAATTTCATTGATTCTTCTCCATCTCTCGTCATCCCACCGTCTGCACACCCAACACGCCGGGTTCTCGCACTGCAGCACGTTGAATATCGGGTGTCGTTTCTGTGCCTGAACATCTCCCCATTCTCTGACGACGACGACGCCTCCGACGCCAGCAGCTATGCCACATATAAAATCGCCACACCGACAGCATCTTGCAAATCCATCATCAAGATCGACTCGTGCACCACAATATGGACGAGGCCGGCCGCTGGTGGAGAGAATTGTGGCATGATTGGCCCAACGCATGGGACGTATGCCGTCGGCGTGGGCTGCTTAAAGCACTCCCCGACATGGCACGGGCTGCCATCTGGACGGCCTTGATGATTGTGCTATTTGCCGGCGTCATTGCATGTGATTTGCTTCGTACAACATGGTCCCATGCATACCCGCTGTCTGGGCACAATAGGGACAAGAGGGAGCGTCGACGCAAAGACAACTCGCTGCAGCGGCTGCTGAGCAGACCCATGGCAGATCCCATATCAGCATATAGGGCTGTCCACTCCCAGAGCCCGCAACACGATGAGAAGGCCAAAACTTCCATCTTTAGCCGCCTCCCGCCCGAGATTCGGAGGCACGTTTTGGTTTCAGCTTTTGGAGAACGCACGCTACATATGGACTTGGATTTCCGACTCCCATTCAACTTGGTTGAGAAGAAGCCATACGATGGGTGTGACGTGCATGCAAGGATTCACCAAGAAAACCTGGCCTCGGACTCGCACTTGGATACAAAGTCTGGCAGGAATATGACTTGGAGGTGGTTTGGTTGTGTATGCCACCGGTTCGACGTCATTAAGACACCACCGTTGACTTACGGCAGGAGATGCAACTGCCAATGGGCCCATTTTGGAGAACCAGATACAGACCTGTGCCTCCGCGGATCAGGAAAGTGTAATACGTGGCCTGGAACGTGGCCAGTGAAGTGTCAAATTGGCGTCATGGGGTGGATGCTATCTTGCAAGCGAGCGTGAGTTTTGCGTGTCTGGCTGCCTTGAGTGACTCTATCGACCCTGTACGATGCTAGCAACACTAACCACTTTTAACTCTGTTTAGATATTTCGAGGTCATGGATGTTCTGTATGGCACCAACACGTTCCACATTGCGTCTCCCGTTCTAATGAAGAGCATGTCCGATCTGTTTCCGAGTCATATATTGGCCAACATTCGATCCCTAGAGTTGGTTTGGCAACCAAAAGACCTTCCTCTGGTAGAAGGCTTTTGCTCAAAGGTGAAGCACTCCAAATACCAACACCCGGTTTTCCCGTCTCTTGCGTACTTGCGGATTGCGTTTGCCCGGATGGTTATCCATGAGGTAGACCACGCCACCGACATGATTTGGCCATATGACAACAGGCGACTACTATCCGAGAGGTTACACAACTCCTTTTTACCGCAAATGGACGAATTAATCAACCGAATCGCGCCACCGATGGCGGAAGTAACGGTATCTTGTGCGAAATGGGATTGGTACGAACTCATAGATGTCTCTCTTTTGGAAAGCCAGGGCAAGGAAGCGACCAGGATGCAAAGAGCGGACATTGAAGGATTGAGGTGCTGGAGAATGATGCCCATTAGGAGGAGCATTTCATGGGAAGATGCCGAGGCAGGTCTATCTTCTGTGCCGAGTAGAGAGGGATACTGGATTCATATACCCATTGGCGACGTGCGTCTTCACAACTGGTGTAAGTTCTATTCTGACTCATCTCGTGCGCAATTTGAGACTGACATGACGACACTTTAGATGGTTACGATTGGCAACGAAATGAGCTTTATGGTCTTGGGCCGGACGGCGTCTCATGGTCTTGATTAGCGGGCAGCGAGGGTCTCAACTAGATTACATTGTTCGACACATATATTTCCAAATGACGTTAATAACAAGCGGTGGAAGTGCCGCCACGGCATTGTCCATCAGAGTACATACGGCGCTGGTTCGTCATGGCCCAGCGCCCAATGCCATGTACCGCTTTCATGTGGTTGCCTAGCCACGAGCCAGAAGCTGGTCCAAGCGAGTAAGCCCTAATTGTGAATTGTGATGCTGCAAGTGCTGCATATGGCTTTCCGCCACCGATCCATTGGCGCACCCGGTGCAGTGACGCAAGCCAATCGTGTGCCATTCATGAACAATGGCTCAAGCTCAATGTGACAAGTTGGTACCTTGATGAGATGCTGCTGGCCCCTTTTTTTTCTTCTTTTTTTGTACTTGACTTTAAGACATACATTGGTGCTATTTGTGATGGACGCGCCTCGTTGTTCAGTTCAGAGCAACATGCATGACTCGTAGAAAAAATCCCCATTTCTAATGGTACTTTTCGCATCATGGTAGTCCTATCAAACAGGCGCTGTTTGGCAAACCACCACGAAGATTGGCAGCCAATCTTGTAAGTCGTCCCCGCCGCGAGCCACTCCCGCAAGGGCCGTCGCCATGGCCGGCGAGCCTCCGGCAATGAGGTCCTTGTTTCCAATGATGTAAATACTGCGCCATGGGAGTACATCCGACAAAAGATGCAGTAAGCTTGGCAAGCGGTAAAGCTGAGTGACGTTCCGCAGGGCCAGGTGCGTCGATGCGCCAGGGACACCGGGCGGCAATGGTGCAAAGCTGGCTTCCGTATCGGGAAACTCGTCGCGGGGCTGATGGAGCCGGCGAGGCGACGCCGCCCGGTCATTCGACTACATACTAGTGATTCTGCCCGTAAACAGCACGGTCGAGCCAGCCGTGAAGACGGCTACATAGTCCGCGGATTATATGACATGTATCTTTATGTTGACAAACAGGGTCGTAAGATGCTGTCAGCGCCAGACGTCACTAACCATGTGTTCCAAAACCATCCGCGGAACCGCGGCCGCCTGACACCCGTCCGGCGAGAGGATTAGGGGTCAGGCACAGCCGTGGCATCCCGTCGAGTTATAACCCGCATTTCAATAGATGGTGCCATGTTATAGAGTGGTTTACATGTCATTCAAGTTATTGTACAGCTAATGGCCTTGACAAAAAAGGGTCGTCGGCTACTACAAAGTTTGGCACAGCGTTGCCCTTCACTAGTTTTGCCCTTGTACACACAGCCCCCGATACACATTGTCATTTAAAACATCTCCCTCAAATGGGGAAACACGGTTCCATCGGGTGTAAACATGCCCCCAACAGAGTCGGCCGTGGCAAGGTCATTATGTGGGGGAACTTGTTCGTCTCCAAACTGGAAGCCATTCAAGCCGACGTAGCCCTCGAAAATTCGCGACAGCTCGCTTTGAATCCTCTTGCCGTTTTGTTCCACGGGCTGCTCCGGCGTCTGGTGGCTCTGAGGCAGATGTATGTTGGGGAAAGGAGACTGCGTCATGGGCGTGCTCTCCATATGACCCCTGGCCAGCCCAATCATTCCCAGAGCAGCATTAGAATGCGCGTCATCATCGGGGTTCAGGCCGAATCGGGGCGCCACGTCCTTCAGTGACTTGATGGTGCGCCATAGGCGCTTGGAGACAAAGCTCTTGGCCGACAGGTCCTTCACCAAGTCCAGCGCTAGGTAAAACTCCTCCCTGCAGACAGCACTAAATCGGACGGGAGCATGCACCGACGCGAGAAACACCACGGAAATGGCCGAGGCCAGGAATTGATGGTAGAAGGATTGCGATCGTCGGTACAAGTTCGTGGTGTTGTTCAAATTGTTCAAATATTGTATAGTGTCCTTGGCAAAGTCGACAACACGCTGCGCTTGACCCGGATGTTGCATGATGCTTGTGGCGCTGTGTAGAATAGGAGTATACAGCCAGATACGAATCTGTCACCAGTTAGTACTCTGTCACGGGAAAAACCACGTCGATGGACGGACCTGATTAAGTCTCAAATATGTGAAGATCTTGAGACGCTGCAGATTGTACGAGGGTGTCGATAATATTTGTTTTTCCTTGTCCCAGTTTTGCACCTTGACTTCTTCGGGTACACTCTCATACCACTGGAGTATCTCTCGATCAAGATTATCAATCTCTTCCTGGTGTGGTTCTCGAGCCAGTGCCGGCCCGGGACGTGACACTTGGCGCCAGACCTTGGCACCAAGACGAGAGTAGGTAATCATGGCAACAAGGAACGGGTACTCCTCCTAGAAATAGTCAGTGATATATGACCCATGTTTCTTTCCTCTCTGTATTTGCACCTACGGGGAGCGGTAGCCTGGGATCGATTTCCTCATCCATCACCGAATAGGGTAGCCCGGTGGCAAATGCCCATCGTCTGTCGAGAACATATGCCGACCAGAAGCTGTTCAGTGCATCCCTTCTCTCTGAGTCGTCCTGGATCCTCATCAACCCCGCCATCTGATGAATACCAGCTTCCAGGCAGAGCCGTACAACCTGTCCCATGATTCTCCATGCCAGAACTTCTTCGTAAGAAAGATATTTGAACCCGGCCAGCAGGCAAAGAAGCGGCAAGCTGGCCACGTCAGTAGGTTCAGACATCAACTTCTTGTTGACTACCCCCTCCATACTCTCATACAGTCGGACAGCCTTGTCGCTGTTGCCATGGAACTCGGTAACCAGAGCGCAGCAGAGGACAATTTTGAGTTGTAATGTCTTCTCGTCATTGACGAGTCCCGTGGGCTGTTGTTGGCCACGCATAGAGTCCAATAACGGTGCGATGTTCTTGGCGTGAGCGGTGACGCTCTCGATGTTGAGCACTGGGTACATTATACCGACCTCTTCCTCATGCAATCGACACAGCCGAATCATCTCGTCCTTGTCGAATTCTAACAGAGGGTCATGACCAGTATTGCTAGTACCGATCTGCATAGCAACATCGCTTCCGTGCTGCTCTTGGTCGGACGTCTCATCGATACCACGATATCCCATGTTGGAGATGGTCGTGTTGGCAATATCTAGACTGTAAGCCATGCTGGTAGGACCCCGGAACGCCCCTACTTTGGAGTGCGACAAGTCTGGTCTGGCCATGGACGCGGAGCTTTGTGCGGGAGAGGGCGCAAGGGTCGAGCCAAGTCTGCCGTTCAGGATGCGATCGGTTGAGGGGGCCGCAAGACGAGTTGGCTCTGCCTGCAAAAGAGTCTTCATCGTCTGATTCAGCCAGTTGACTTCTTCCTGGAGTCGACTGAGCTGACTTGTGACGCTCCTAAACTCATCCGAGTCCTTGAAGTTGTTTGAGCAGCAGTTGGGGGCGTATAAGCACGCCAGATTGAGGTTGCCACATCGTTGGCAAGGCGTCTCGCCATTGCACTTGATTTTTCTTCTCTTGCACTCGTTGCTGTGCGCATTCTGCGTCAGTCCCAATCTGCGTGGGGGAATGTCGGGGATAAAGAACTCACCACGCGATGGAGATATACTGCCAGTCAACCACCAAGAATATGTCAGCAACACCATGTACAGAGCAAGTCGTGCATGCACGCATCCGCCGGCCAATAGCCATATTGTGACACGCGACGAACCGGCGGCATCTGCAGCTCGCACAAGACCGAAGGGGGGGACGACTCGGGTAACACCAAAAACATCAGAACAAACATCAAGACCCCAACATCACAGGCCAAAATAGCCGACACATGCCGGGTGCAATATACAGCAAGCAAGGGAGGGCCCTGGGGGTTGATCAAGACTCACCCGATTCCTCTTGCTCCTCGTCTGTTTTTGCGCTGCTCCGTCGTCTATCGACTTCCTCTTGTTGGCATTGGACGCGGCCGCAGAGGCACCGATGCCAGCGGAATTGTCTCCGTATGAAGCGGAACCAGACGGACTGGCGTGTGGCCCAGGCCGCGGTGTATCATAGGATATGCTTGCCGTGTCGCTCAGCGCGGCGGGAGCTTGCGCCAGGTAGCGCAAATCAGACGCTTGTGTCTGGATCTGCTCCATGTTGTTGCGCCCGACCACATCAATCCCTTCTGCCTTCACCCGTCGTTGCGGACCGGGAAACCATGCGAGTCGGGAAGAAAAGAAAGGCACCTGTGATTAACAAGGGAAGGGGGGGGGATGATGGCAAATACCTGGCGCCGGCTCAGCCAGCCTGCCAGCCTGCCACCGGCACTGCAAGACTGTCAGAGCGGCCAAAAACCCATCCTCCTCCACGGACCACGAGGGTTGACGGCCCCACGTGACGTCCACACAGACGGGAGAGCTAACTTTGGTGGCGGCGGCCAAAGGCTTGAGTGGCATGCCTTGAAAAGTACCTGCAGGTGGCAGATCTCTACTCTGATTGAACAGTACTAATACGTACGCCGTCAAATACACACAGTCGATGCGTGTACATACTGTATGCGGTGATTGCTAGGGCAAAGATGAGACAGGCTAATGTGAGTTGAAAGTTCCGAACTCTGCCCGTCCGGGGTGCTGCTAGTTTGAGTGCGCCAAAAGGGTCTGGTCCGGTTGACGAGCAAATACCCTGCGCCAGGGTAAATCAAATCAACTTTGTTTTTCGTTGCCAATAGGAAGGCCCTGAAAGTCATGGCTTGGTCATCACCATGCGATCAATTGATTGCCCTAGCAAAGGCCCCATCAAACACCGCCACTAACATCGTTCTGGTTCCGTCCTCATTTTTTACGTCGAGGTAAATTTTCAACTTCAGCTTGCCACCGATATATCTACAAATGCACGGCTCAATTTCTAAACAACTTCAGTCCTTCCTCTTCAATATCCACTCCCTCCATCTCCTCATGGTCGCTCTCATCCTCGTTTAGCTCCAACTTGCGCCCAAACAGTGTTCCAAAGAAACGGTCAATCGCCTCCTGTTCCCAGCTTCTCCTGTCCTCTGGCGCCATAAAGTTTTGCAATTTCTCATGCACCGTGAATCTCATCTTCCGTCCCTTGCTAGCCTTGCGATCCACTTGCTTGCGCACCTTGGCTTCCTTTGTCGCTGTCACCATCACCGTCGGCACAGCAGTAGCGTAGTCTGCGACTCCTTCTACAGTTCGCTGATCAACCAGTTCCTTCAGGAGCAGCTGGTAGAAGTCAGCGTCATCGTAGACATACTCGTCAGTGGCGACTTTCTTGGCAAGCTGCGCAGGGGCACATGATCGAGGGACTCGTGTCCGTTTGACGAGCCTGTTGTTGGGGACTATTAACTGCTCTTGAAGAGCACTAATGAGGGTCTTGCTCTTTTCGCTAATTCCACTTGGTCTTGCCATGTTGACACTTTGGACTTTTTTGGACCACTTCTCCAATCGTTCTTGGCGAAAGCCAGTCGCGTCCTTGTCTTCGTCTTGTAGCTGTTCCCAAATGTCATCGTTTGACATTGATGCAACAAAATCGCGCTTCCGCTTCTCACCGGTTTTAGTTGGCGCTTTGATACTTTCACGTAAGCTGCTAATGGTGTTCAGCAGCTTGATGGCAGCCTCTTCAGCAGCTTCGTATGGCTCAGACTCGGCATCAGTGCCCGCCTCCACCGTGGGGAATGAATTGGCGGCGACGAGTGCTTTCTGTAACCGAATGCGTAGGTTGAGCAAACCATCGTAAATCTTGCGCTGCTTCTGGATAGCAACACCTTTGTCGATATCGGCTCGGTTGGACAGAGCAGATAGGTGGGGTCTGGCCGCAATTTTCTTCCCGGACGTTTCCTCTTCTTCAGTTTCGTCATCATCGCCGTCCTCGTCATCCTCCTCGTCCTCTTCATCATCATCATCATCATCATCCTCCCCCTCCTCCTCCTCACTATCCTCATCGTCCACTTCTTCAGAGTCGTCTCCACCATTCACCAGCGCATCAAGTCCATCATCCATCTCTTCATCTCTGTCAGATTCACTATTCTCGTCATCACCAGACATAAAATCTGCTGCAGTCGCCCTCTTGGTCCTTCCCGCGGGTTTTGCAGGCTTGGCACTCCCACGAAAAGAGTAGTCTTTGAACCGTTCGGCATCCGACTCGCCTAGAGCGTTGTCACTGTCAATCTCCGAGTCGTTGAACTCGGCCTCGTCGGCTTCCAGGTCGGCGACATCGGGATCGTCGTAGTCGTCTTCATCATCATCATCATTGTCCTCACTCTCCTCTGCGTCTTCGTCATCCTCGGTCTCGTTATCCAATGCAGACCGGCTAACCCGAGAGCCCCTGTATTCAGGGCCGAGTGCAACGCTTTCTTTCTGTCTCAATTTGCTCTTTCCCACGCGAACATAGTGCTCCGTGCCCAGATTCTCGTCTTCGCTGTCCTCGCTACTGCTGCCATTGGCTTCCGGGTCGTGGTCTGTAAATGTTAGTTTATGCGATTGTGCAAAATGGCAATGCTTTCGGGTTGTCCTGAATACCTTTGACAATAGCCTCGTCTGGATCCTGGAACTCCTCGGCGCGGCCTTTTACTTTGGCCATTTTCTTTCCCGTTCAGCTTGCAATGCTTGATTCAAGATCAGACGTGAGCCCCACGTTCAAAAGATTTTGTCTCTGTCGCTCCAGCATCAACTTTTAGGCGGTGTGTAGTGGCAGAACGCAGCTTGAACTCTATGCTGCCGGTAGGTCTGTGCTGGAGCCACCTCCCGTTACCAGCCTTGATAGCATAAAGTACCAGACCGGACTCGACATTATACAACCATTGGCCCAAAAACCTGGCCCAGCAACTACTATTAGGTCGTGCACTTAACCACAGTATTTTTGTATATCCAACGTAGTCAAAATCAGTTAAACGACCCCAAATTCTAATAGCGTTATTTTTGCACAAGTTCTACCGGCGACAGCAGTCCCAAACATGCGCCAGACAACAGCACGCCTCCTACAGTCGTTTCGCCCATTATATCATGAAAACCCTCTAGTGAGTTCCCAATTCATCAATCTCCTATGATATGTTTTTATAATTTTTTTTTCCTTTTTCGTTATATGACCTAACACATGCCGTAGGGCTTGCCCCGATCTGGCACGCCGCCAACCTGGGCAAAACGTCCCCAGCGACGCAAGATCACTGGAGTTGAAAAGGTCATCGCCGTATCATCTGCCAAGGGCGGTGTTGGCAAGAGCACAGTCGCGGGTGAGTTCTTGGCCGGTCCAATGCCACGGTATTCACGCATTTTAATGTCAATGAGGCAGCCAACCTATCCCTGGCTTTTGCCAGATTGGGCTTCCGAGCAGGCATTTTAGACACAGATATATTTGGACCGTCGATTCCAACACTATTTGACTTGTCCGGAGAGCCAAGATTATCAAAAAGTAAGTTTTTTGTCTTGTTGGGTGTATGGCTTGACGACTGATCTTTGTTCTAGATAACCAGCTGGTTCCTCTCACGAATTATGGTGTCAAAACCATGTCAATGGGCTATCTAGTTGGCGAGAATGCGCCGGTTGTCTGGCGAGGACCAATGGTGATGAAAGCCATTCAACAGCTACTTCACGAAGTAGACTGGGGCGGTTTGGACATTCTGGTTCTCGACCTGCCACCTGGTACTGGTGACACACAGTTAACCATAACCCAACAAGTCATTTTAGATGGTAGCCAACCTCCCGACCCCTCCTCCCTGTGGTTCGTGGGCTACGAGTCTGCTAACGTTGATTTCCTAGGGTCTTTAATCGTCACAACCCCTCATACCCTGGCAACGAAAGACGCTGTCAAGGGTATCAACATGTTCAAGGCAGTGGATGTGAATATTCTAGGTCTGGTACAGAACATGTCACTGTTCGTATGTCCCCATTGCCATGGCGAGACGAATGTGTTTGGGTCGAATGAAAGAGTCGAGAGGTTGTGCAAAGATCATGAGATATGCTTCCTGGGCGATATTCCTCTACATCCAAACATTGGAGACGATGCCGAGAGAGGGAAGCCTACGGTCGTGGCCGAACCATCAAGTGAGAGAGCATCGGCGTTTCTACGGGTTGCTGATAAAATCTTGCCAAAAATTGGCTTGGAGAGGAATTAGGAATGTAAGGGATGGTAGTTCCGTGTACAATCTTTGTTTCAATACATATGATATCCCGCACATAAAGCCATTAGCACGTCTGCACAGTCTTGATCTCGCGAGGGTTTAAGTACCATATCAATAGAGCCCAGTCAAGCCTAGACCCAAATTATGATTCCGAACTGACAAGAATGATTTATCCCCCGTCGACGTGGTATATCCTATGTTTTTCGAACTATTACGAGGTTCGGCAGCAGGCCGTAGCAGGCCGTAGCAGGCCGTTTCAGGGGCGAAGATACACCAGGTTAGCCTCAGCCTTTATCAATCAGGAGGCATATTACCGAGATATAGCGTGAAAGCCCACCCAACTTTAACACATCCATCCCTTAACGCCGACCTGGCTTGGTATCGCGCTTGTGAACATGAACTAGAAAAAAATGAAAAGGAGAGTCGTTAGTCTAGGTCTTCGTTTACCTGGTAAACATGACGAGATCGAGTAGGGTCTTTCCGCATAGCTTGGCCAGAGCCAGTAAAGCCCACTACATCGCCAATTGTTAGCATACTCTAGCGTATAGGTCTTGCTCATCAAAAAAGATGCTATATGCATATGCACATACCTCTTCCATGAATACCCTCCGGCGTGCGGAACATGCTATCCTTCTTATTCGTTTTGCCAAATTTAGACTTTGCATTAAATGCTTGCCACTTAGCCTTGCCGGCCTCAAGCTCTTTCTTGGCCTTGATCTTTTTTGGTTTCGGGGCTTGCGCAGCCTCCGCATCCTGCTGGGCTTCGTGCTGGGCACCAGGATACATTGTAGCCCCAGCAGACGACACAACACCTGGAGCCGACGGCTGCGGCGGAGGGTCGTCAGCTTTCCTCTTATTAGAAATGGGCTTTAGGTCTTTTGATCTTAGAGTCTCTGTATTGTCATAACTTTTGAACTTGACAGTGTATATCGGTGCGGCGGACGACCCGGTGATGGAAGTGATTCTGGCTTGATAGAAATTCTTGTCTCCGGATACCCATTTGGCCATGACGGTGTCGTTCACATGATACGTGACTGGAGGCTCTTCCTTTTCTTCCGGGGGCGGAGGGGCCTTCTTGAAGGCGGGGTGGTTTTCACGAGACCATTTTTCGGGCTGTGGTGGCGGCGACGGTTCTTTGGGGGCAGGCTTAGATGGCTGGTTTGGTCGTAGCTCTGCGATGTTCTCGTCGAGAAGACCAATAACGTTGGTCAGCTCTTCCTGTAGAGCCTGAAGTTCGGCGCTGTCTGGGTCATCTCGGAGTTGTTGAAGGACGATATCGAGCTTGACGCAGAGTTAGCCCAAAGCGATAGAAATAATGGAGTGCTGAAACGTAGGATACGAACCTGCTCTTGGTATTGTGATCTCTCCTCTTCGATGGCTGCGACGCCAGACATTGTGTTTTGGAAATCTGAAAAAGGTGATGTAGAAGGGTTTGTTGGACTTGGTTGCTGATAAAGCGCTCGTCGAAATTGGGTGAAGAGGGCGGGCAATGTGGCTACGACAAGCAGTCTGGTGTCTAAATTCTGAAGAATGTCGCAGCTGATTGACGTTGCCTCCACTGAGATACGACCAAGCACGTGACCCACCTCGGATCGCGGAGTCGTCCGCCTCGAATGTCAATCCTGCGAAGATGGAATGAGTTTTCAAATGGAGGGCGTCGTACGGACCAACTTTACCAGGATATCCGGCATGAGAGATTCGGTGCATATACCTTGGCGTGACCAGGGGAGAATCCTACGTTGTCTGTTGCGCGTATCCATCCTCGTCCAACTGACGTGCCTGAAGCATGGTCAGTCTGATGACGCATGTGATGTGTCAAAAGGGATCAATGCAGAAGGTATAATGTCGTTTTAATATAACAAAATAATATCCGATTCCTTTCTCCCTATATTCCCAGGGTGATCCGGTTTGCTCAATAAACAAGCGCTTCGGAGGCTCGATGGCGGGAGAATTACGATGCAGCACAGGGCTAAAGATGAATGACTCACTTTGCTGGCTTCGATTGCGATTCCGCAAGCTGGGCTCCATGACTGGTTTCACCATATACATGTCTCTGAATGCACCCTTGGAAGGCATCTTTTCCTTTTCGCATTAAACCCCTCTGCCGTCATGAATGATGACCCGAACACTACGAGCAATTCTGCCCTCAAACAGGTATGAATTAAATGCGTCCGCAAAGGTGACTACCGCCAACTGGATCTCACACGTTTGCAGGTACTTTCCCATCTTCAGTATTCAGAAAACGATGACCGACAAGTAGTTATAATGACCTGTGGGATATCCGGTCAGTAGACATGAGGATTCCCCAAAGTTCAGCATTCCGAGGCAAGCATTGACTAACGCGTCAAACGAGTCCTCAGGGGCAGGAAAGTCTACCTTATCGAAGGACATTGTTAAAAAACTACCAAACTCGGCTCGGTTATCTGTTGATTCTTATATATACGAAAACTATGGACTCTTCAAGATTGATTATCCCGAGGGCAAATACCCCGAGTATCAAGCTGAGGGTCTACAGCACGTAAAAGCAGAGCTCATCCGCCTGCTCGGAGAGAAGCAGAAAGACATAGTCCTGGATCTCGCCTTCTGGAACAGGAAGTATCGCGAGGAGTACAAAGAGGCCATTACTAAACACGGTGGACGCTGGCTTCTGGTATTCCTCGACGCAGACAAGGAGGTTCTGCGGAGGAGAATCGCTGATCGGCGGGCACAGAGAGATGCACTCTCTCTAAATGACAAGAGAAGAGACGGTGACACTGCATTTGATGTTGACAATGAGACTTTTGAAATGTACTGGGATGGATTTGAGAGACCTGTGGGCGAGGGAGAGATTGTGATTAAGGTTCTGTGAGTGCCCTGCATCGGGAGAGACAATCGTCAAGTCGACGTCGCCTATGGTCATTGGATACCAGCAACGAGTCTTGGTTGAGAACGACTGGTCTGCGCCAACGATGGAACATTGAATGAGTAGAGTTCTTGGTCAGCTTGCAAGTTGACGGTCAACCTCCGGGAGGGGTTCGAGTTTGGGTCTGGTACTTCTGTACATGTGCATTCTGGGTGCCAGGCATAAGTGTCAAGTCCGGTCTGCTGTATTCCAGACTTCCAGTAGAACCAGGACCTGACTGCCCTCTGATTTCTCCAGATGCCCGCCCGTGTCCAGACAGGGATGCTGGTCTGTGGTGACGGTCTGTGCTGTGAGTCAAGTGTCAGAGCCTAATACCAAACATTGAATGAATGCCAACTGATGTCTTCCCCGCGTCTGTGTCTGGCTCTCAAGGTCCAGTCTGGTTTCTTCTATTGTTCCAGCCTGGTGCAAGTTGGGTATACAGTTCCGACGCGCCGGCTGGCCGAGTCCACGGGATGCTGAGCCGCGCGCATGCGTCGAGGGCACCTTGACATGGCGGATTAATTACTAGACTAAAGACAGTAGTCAATATTAAAGGCCATACTAGGAATTACTCTTTCTTGCACAACCACACTCTTGGGGTGGTTCTTGGCACAAGATTATTAGCGAGTAGCGACGCTAACCACATCGAAGTAGTACAATGTCAAATGGCAGGCAACGGCCTGAGCCCTACTTAAAGTACGCGGGCCCGGGCAGGAGTAGTATCCCGATGATAGGTTTCTTGTTCTTTCCCTGTATAATGAATAACTAGAGGTACTGGAGCTTACTCGACTGCTAGGCAGCTAGCGTATTCTCATAAAAACTTAAGTGAATAAAGGCCAGACCGCCAAAGTGCCTGTTGCCCAAGCACGGCTTCCAGATGCGCTGCCCCGCTGTTTCAATTACCTGAGAGCTTGGGTCGTGAATCATGGATGCCCTTGGCCATGCACGCTGCCATCAGCGCACGGCCAGCCACGGCCAGTCACCGTCTTCGTCCACCCTCCACATGTGCGCTCTTCACCGCAGCGCAGCGCAGCCCTGTCTGCTCCCCGGATGTCTGGTTTCAATCTCGAGTGCTTCCAGATGCCCCCATCCACCTATCAGCCATCCAGTCTTCTTTGCAACCCTCCATCTCGTCACAGTCCGCCACCCTCCACCATATCTGTTTCCAGTCTAAGTCGGACGAAACCCGCACACGGCCAAAGACGACGACGACGACGAGAGAGCGAGAGCGAGAGAGAGAAGGCCTTTTAAAAAAAGACATCTCATCCATTCACCTACCGTCCTCGGCCTGCCCTATCCGACCAGTTGACGTCTGTCATTGCTTATCCCGTCGCTCGGCCCTGGACGACGACTTATCAAGAACTCCTGCTCCTCTTCCGCGCACCCGGGCTGCTTCTGCCACCTGCGACTCTTCTTGCAGCCGGTCAATTGGCATTCCGACTCCAAAAGTTGGTGGACAAGCTCATCTCCTCAATACCAATTCGCCTTCGCAGCCGTCATCGCCGACTCCGACATTCACACGTGTCCCGCATCACCAACCAAGGCAGCCGCAGCCGAAGACGGCACATCCTTCGGTCGGACGAGAGCCTCTGCAGTGTTCAGCAGCACCGCAGCACCGCAGCATCGCACCGCTGCATGTCTCCCAACGTCGCCGTCTTCGCCCCCAGTGCCAGCCATCAGCTCGACCCATCAGCTCCAGCCCAGCATTGATTGCTCTCGAGCCAGCGCTTGCACCACTTGCCCGAGACACCAACCACAGCAGGTGCGCACGCGTGCTCTGGTACTTTTTGTCTGGTGCTCCGTACTCCCCCTCGGGCGTCTGCAGTCTGGTGTGCATCCTCAAGTATTGTACAGGCCAAGTACCTCGGTGCTGGAGTGCGCAGGTGCTACCGTCGACACCATGCCGCGAGACAGGGACCTGGACAACGCATCGTCCGGTGGCCAATCAAAGCGCCCTCCCCTCAACCACCGGGACAGCGACTCTCACAGCGACACGACAAATACCTCGGGAGCTCCGTCTCACCCTCATCGTACAAAGCATCACCAGAAGCAGCACCACGTCGGCCACGCTGGTCGCCTGCACGCCCGCGTCCCTTCCTCAAAAGCAGTCCACAAACAGCATGGCAACGCTCATCCTCACCCTCACCCTCATGCCCACACCTCCAAGCTGAATCGACGACCAGCTTCGCGACCTACCTCGCCCACCGAATTCGACCAAGTCGCCCAGCGCCCGCCGCCGCACCGCAGAGCCACCAGTGAAGTCAAGCTCTCCCGCCAGTCTTTCCCCGCCAATCTGCCCAAGAGCTTGTCGCACACGAGCTTGAAGCGCAATCGCTCACACGTCGAGGTTGGCAAACGGACTCGGTCGTCGGACAAGCTCAAACGAAGCTCGAGCGGCACGGGTATACATAGGCAGCCTGCTAAACCCAGCAAGATCCAGGTGCATTTTGACCTAGGGAGCGACGATCCCGAAGACGAGTGGGTGGATGCCAGCGGCTCCAATTCACCATATCTCTCACGCAAAGGCTCGCTCAACAGCAGCGCTCAATCGTCTTTGAGGCAAGGACCTAGTGCCGAGAACTCGCGGCCCGTGACCCCGAGTACTACTTCCAAATCCCGGGAACCAGACCGTCCGTCACCAGACCGTGAAACATCTCACCATAAAGAATACCTCACCTCTCGCCTCCTACAGCGAACACCGTCGCACGGTGCACCGCCGCAAATGACCGTCGACCTTGCCAATGCAGCACCGGCGCAACTGTCCCGCTCCGTCAGCTCCACTGGCCGCAACGTAACGCCTTCGGCAGGGAGCAATCAAGATGAGCTAGTGTCCCGATTTGTCGATGCTGCCAGTTCTGGCCTGGCAAGCCAGGGATCATTTTATCACCCAGCTCACGCCACCGGCCGAGGTCCGAATGATGTCCCCCGAAGGCCCGACTCAATGACCCATATCGATCTGGCCCCGAAAAATGACGATGCCGAACCAGTGCCGGTGCCGGTGCCATCGGCCGAAATCGATAACAGCGCCTTGGTACCAAAGGCTGGCAGGCGGACAGTGGGCCCGCCGGCAGAAACATCACGCACACAGCAAAAGTTGAATTTGCAGCGGGCTAGCTCAGTATTGGAGCCTGGCCAAGCATTGACAGGGGCAGTGGGTGTAGTTGGAGCGAGCCCATTGATCGGCGTTGGGGGTCCTGGCTACGACGGAGGAAACAGCCGTGATCCTCGTATTGGCAAACTGCTGGAACGAACAGGCATGGAGTACCTCGTCGTTCGGAGATATCAAAACCCCGTTGCTCGATCTTTGAACCGCCTCAGTCGTCTTCCCGGGATGGAGAAGAAGCGAAGGATTCCACGCACAGCTGCTGGCTCTTTGAATGGCAAACGGACTGTGGATGTCAATGCTCGACATACTCGAAACGTCAGTATGCCGGATCCGCGCCAAACCGCGCTCAAATCTGGTGCATCAATTAGAACCAATGGAGCTGGTTCCAGCTTTGACGGAGATGACGTTGCCAGATTGAATGAACGATTAAGCGGAGCGAGCCTAGTTGCGGCCGAAGAGGAGGATGGTACGAACGCTCTGCTTCGTAATCTATGGGACAAATCGATGGATCTTAGCGCCAGTACTGACTAGAGAGATGTGGGCTTTGGTTGTCGAACGATACTCACCATCCTCATTTGCTAGGCAGCGATCACCCATACTGATGCCCTGTTCCTATACCCGAGCAACACCCTAGAGCAACTTCTTTCAACAATTATAACGAACACAAATCACTTTCATGCCAACTGTTCGAGACACTCACAACTACTTCAACTCGGGTCCCAGCGCCCTCTCGCTGCCCTTTAGTTGGAGATTCCGGCACTTGTGGCCCACCATATTTATACGTTTTTTTTTTTCAGGCACGCGTCCTGTGATATTATATAGCATCTTGTCTGATTATTCCGCGAAGGCATTGCGATTCCACTACCAGGGGCTTCTTCGGTCAAGTAGACAAAATATTTGCAGGTCAGGCTGGGGTTTACACAGATGCATAGCCATCCGGTGCATTTACAGATAAAAATCTTTAATATACAGGCTGATGACTTACGAGCAAGCGATTTGTATCCACTCTCCTTTGCGAATTATACTGTGATACCATGGATACAATGCCCAGGCAAAACGACAAAGGGTATGCAACTGAGAAAATTTGACACGTGTATATTTACTAGTTATCGTATATGCAAGAGAGAAGATGATGCCCAGCGCTAGCGCACCTCTATTCATGTATTTTGCATCTATGCCAAATCTTTGCCACCCACCATGCATGCAATAACATGATTACCCATGGACGTCGCTCCTGTAAACAAAGTAAAAAAAAGAATGCAAGACAAATACCGCCGTTCAAGTACTCGACACAACCCTACCTGTTTATACATTCGGTGAAAGCAAATCATACTTGACACATCGTTCAACCTAGGCAAATCAGTACGAGGCCCTCGGAAACACGTGCGATTGAATCGGCCCAGAGGGAACAAAACTTACATCTTCTATGCTCGCCTGCAGGAACTTTCTCGCCTCGAGCCCCGCCCAGACCAGGATGACGCTGAAGTCGCCGCTCTTGGCCATTGTCGCGCCGCTCTGGGCACCGAGCTGGCGCAGGATGGGCAAGGAGCTGCTCAGCAGGTCGACGTCGGGGTTCAAGCTGCGGCCGATGCCCTCGAGAAGGAGGATGCTGATGACGACGTTGACAAAGTCGCCCTCCATACGGACGTGGTGGTTGCGCACCATGGAGAGGACCTGCTGGAGGATATCGCCAATCTTGACGTTTCCCAGCGCCAGCGTGCGCGACTTGACGCTGAGGACGAGGTGCTGCATCTTGAGGGCAAACACCTCCTTTTCCAGGACGGCTTCGGGCTGGCGGCAGCGCTCGCACATGAGGTGGCCGGCCTTGTAGCCGTCGAACTCGGCGACGGCCCGGAAGAGGTCGAGGAAGTTGGCGCGGTTGGTGGCGTTGAGCTCGGTGACGAGGCCCGTGTCGATGAAGATGAGCTGCGGCCGGTACCCTTCTGCGTCGATCTTGGCCAGCTCGGCTTCCCAGGCGGCCTTGTTCTTGCGGCGTCTGAAGGGGCGGAGGCGCTCGAGGACCTTTTCCGTCACGTCCGCTTCTTGGTCGTGCGCGTTGCGGTCTGGCTTCTTGCGCAGGCGGAGCTCGGGCTGGGCGGCCTGGTAGAAGCGCACCATGATGTTGCCTGGGTGGAGGTCTGCGTGGACAAAGTTATCCAGGAGGAGCATGCGGAGGAAGGCGTCTAGGCCCTCGTCGGCAATGTCGTGCTGGAAAACGCCGCCGCCGTTTTCCATAAAGTCGGCGAGCGGGATGCCCTGGGCGAACTCCTCTATGAGCACGTTCCGTGTCGTGAAGTCTGTGTAGGGGTAGGGGAATGAGGCGGTCGTGCGGTCTTTGAAGTTGCGACGGAACCTCTCGAGGTTGGCAGCTTCGATGCGCAAGTCGAGCTGGAGCTTCATCATTTCGCCAAACTGAGCTACTTCGTCGGGCAGCGAGAGCCATTCGATTGTCGGGATGGCATTGAGGATGGATGCGAAGAAGTGCATGATCTTCAGGTCGCGGCGGACTATTCTGTCTACTCGGGGGTGGAGGACTTTGACGGCCACGTACGATGAGGGGACGCGCTTTGGTGAGCTTTTGAGCACGGTTTCGACGTTCCGCCGGACGTTTTCTGATAGCCCGCCGTATCCCTCGGAGCCGTTCATGCCGCCCTTTGACATGGCGAGCTCTGGCTTGAGCTTGGCCTTGTAGACTTGCGCAATGGCCCCCACGCCCAGGGGCCTCTCGTCGAATTCATCAAAGATGTCGTCAAACTCGCGCCCGCCAAATGCTGCCGAGACGGTCCTGCGAGTTGCGTGCATGGAGTGTGCCGGCGCATTCGAGTGAAGCTTCGACATGGTATCACACATCTCATTGGGAAAGATGTCTGTTCGGGATGCCGCCCATTGTCCCAGCTTGATGAAGGCAGGGCCTGCAAGTTCCATCGCCTTGACTAAAAACTCGTACCACCAAAGCGTGCCGCTTCGTTCGTTGTCACGCTCGGGGCGGCGTTTCCCAATCCAAATTGCCGGAACCGTGATTATGACGGGCACAAAGATGGCGAGGAGGTGCAGAAAGCGAAAGCCTGTGCAGACCGGCTCCCACACATACAGGTCAAAGAAGAGGACAGCCTTGTGCGCCGCTCTCAGCAGTCCGGTTTCGTGGTCGCCAACAGCTTTACGCATCTCCTCGCGGGAGACCTCTAGCATTCGATGTTCGCCCGTTTGTTCGGTGCCATTGTTGTCCGTTTCCGATATCTCTATAAAGGCCCCAGCACTCAGCGCAGCCACGCCAGTCGAGGCTTGCAGTATAACCCTCCTCGCTGAATATCCCTTTGTTCCCGGGCCCGTCCATGGTATTTGGCGTGTGTGGTGAAGTCGGAACGCGACGCGGCGTGTAAGAGGAACCGAGCTGGACTGCGAACGCAGTAAGGGCCGAAAACAAGTCCGGCCCAAGATGAAGCCGGTGCTCATATCGGCTCACAGGCAGTCGAATCCTCCTTGCAGGCGGAATCTATCATGTTCGACGAGGCATGGGGACATGGGGCTCGAGGAGTTGTCGTCGGCAGCACATGGAAATTCGGGTCCAGCATCGAAGGCCTTGCGGGCCTGTAGGTGCCCACAGCGGTCGACGGTACTAGTACAACACGGGATTGGTGACGTAGGAGACTTCAATGTTGGACAGTTGAGCGCAGGCGACAGGGAGAAGCCGGACATGCACGTGCAGTGGGTTCAGTGGGCTGCCGTTGTGGTTGCTGGCGCCAGGCCAATCAGCCGACGCAAAGTAGTATTGACTTCAGTACGGAGTACCTACCAGTATAACCGGCAGTGACTCGGGAGGGAGGCACGGCCATTTTGAGTCTGGTCAATGTACATATGTACAGACATCAACGTGCTCCACCAGAGTGGCCGCTCACACGGCCTTGCCGGGGCGCGATAAGATTCCGTACTTTTCATGCTGCTAAATTTCTCCTCTCGTCACTTTGATCCCTCCCCGGGCATCGACGCCGTCAACCTTGTTCGTATACTCTGTCTGTAAAGCATCTGGCGCTTCAGCCGTCGGTTTCCCCCATATTTCCTCTTATTTTAATTCTTTTGCAATATTTGAGCGTCAACATGGGCTGGTTCTGGGCTGAGCCTGCTCCCGCCGCGGCGCATACACCCAGCGGCCATCCCCCAGTCATTGGCAATACAGCTCCCCCGGTACGCAGCATAAATCTCATCAATGTGGCCCGTGAACATGGATTCTAACCCTCTTCGTCTTCCAGGCTGGATGTCCGATGCATCAAAAGACTCTCGATGCGCTGAACCCCAATGAGAAGCCCCCGAAGCAGGCCCCTGGCCCATCCGCGTCTGGCTGCCCTGTGCCTCACGAGGCTCGCACAACCCAGGACAAACCCAAATCTCTGCTGTCGCAGCTGAACCCGCTCAACTACATGTTCCCCGACCTGTCGCAGGAGCGTGCTCCCAATCAAGCCATTGCGCTGCCAACAAGTAGAGAAGAATCCACGATACCAAAGGGGTCCGGGGATGGCACGTGGGAGTATCCTTCGCCGCAGCAAATGTACAATGCTCTCCTGCGCAAGGGATACGCAGACACCGATATCACTGCTGTCGAATCCATGGTGTCAGTTCACAACTTTCTCAACGAAGGCGCCTGGGCAGAAATTGTGGGCTGGGAGCAGCGCTTTGGCAAGGGCTTGTACAACGGATGGCAGGTTTGCAGGCGAGGAGAGGCGCATGCACCGGAGGAGATGGAGCGAAACTGGGATGTCAATGATGCCGAGCCTACTCTCATCCGTTTTCAGGGTCGTCCCAAGGATCTGACCCCCAAGGCAACTATGCTGCAGGTGTTGGGCTGGATCTACCCGTCAAAGTTTGGGTAAGTTTGCGAGCGGCAAACCTCACTGTATGAATGAATTTCACATGGCGTTCTAACGTTGCGCAGCACTGAACCGCCATTTGACCGCCACGACTGGTACGTCTCCCGAGATGTCAACGGCGAGAGACAACAAATCCGATATGTCATCGACTACTACTCCGGTGAACCTGAGCCAACTGGTGAACCTGTCTTCTACCTCGACGTCCGACCTGCCGCCACTCCACGAGGCGCCGCCGAGCGCATTATCCGATGGAGTACAGATGTCTGGTGGAAGGCTATCGGGGGCGACAAGCGAGAGCAAGACCCGCAACCCTTCTTCCGACACAACGCTTCGAAGCCTTGGAGTTAGATCAGTATAAAAGAAGGCGTTTATTGTTTGTAATTGTATCATAAGAAGCAATGTATTCTACTCCGCAACGGCATAATGAACCTAAAACTGGTTTCCTAAGCACGCACTCACGATTGATACGCACTGGCATGCTTTGTATAATAGTTATAATTCAAGAACTGTTTCAATCCGTTGGACCTGAGGGCAACCTGGGTTGATGTTATGTGGTCGTAATATAGTTGGATGCCGGTGTTAACAAAGCGACTAGAGGTGTAATTGCTATTGGTACCTGGGCAGGTGTATGTGGTTGCTTGCTCGTGTTCGGTGCTGGCTGGAATTTTCTACAAGTCATCTTCGCCCAGACATCAACTGCAAGAGACTGGAGCGTTTATAAACACTGGAGGGGGGAACTAAACACGCAGCACCCGCAACTCGAGGTCCCGCCGTGTTAATCAGGCATCTCTATACATAAATTTATATGTAAAAATATATGTTAATTTTTAGACCTTGAAGCTAGTAATAAGGAAGAAAAAACGACTGGCGCAGCCGGGACTTGACCCCGACACAGCGGCCTACATAGCCTCAAATGGCACACATCTCTCAAAGACGTTAAAAACGCACTTTTAATCGTAAATCACACAACACACAAAGGTGGGCGCTGATTCCGGCCCGATTAGGACTAAAGGGTGCTGCGTGTTTAGTTGCTCGGAGGCACTAGAGGGTCCTGCGCACCGAAAGTCACCCGCCCCGCCTGACGGATAGAGCGGGTACTTGGTCTCTTTTCACTCTCCACTAGCGCCCAAAGCTTTGCTTCGTCAGAGAACTTTAGCCGCCAGCAAGCAGAATTTCTGCCTGTTTAACATATCGACCCCAATTTCGGCTCGGGTTCACAACCAGGCAGCATTCGACTTTTCGCACCACTGCAACGGGCCCTTGGAACCCATGGCTCCAGAATTGTCGCCCACAAAAAGCGACAAAGTATCCAAGGCTCTTGCACCGGACGAAAACGGCTACACCCGTCTGCACATCACGCCTCTGGACCAGGAGCTCGTGAAGATTATCATCCCAGCCTCTGTGCTTCCCAGTGCGCGCAACATCTCCTTCCACACGCTCGAGACCTTCCCCGAGAAACGATACGGGTTTGTCGACCTGCCTCAAATGGAGGCCGAGAAGCTGAAAAGGAAGCTCAATGGCGCCACGTTGAAGGGCTCCAAGATGCGGATTGAAAAAGCTCGGCCGGAGGAACGAGTCGAACCCACGGGTGATGCGGACACTGAGATTAAGAGCAAGAAGAGAAAGTCCAGAGATGAATCTGAGAGCTCAAAAAGACGAAAGCGAGATCACAAGGTGGTGGAAGGAGTTGTGCTCGAGGATCGAAAAGTCAAGCGAGGCTGGACGGAATCCGCTGATACAAAACGGAAGAACAAGAAGAGCAAGGACAAATCTACCAAGGACAAGGACCAGGAGAAGAGGAGGCGGCAAAAATCAAAGTACACCGACCAGGATGAGTGTCTTCTCAAGACAAAGCTGCCACCGAATGTGGTGGGCAATTTGCCTGCAGCAGACGCCCACAAGAAGAAAAAGAAGAAAGGAAACATTCGAGAGGTCACGGTTCACGAATTTGAAAAGACCACCAAATTCCCCAGTTTCTTGAAAAACACGGCGCCTGAAACAAATGGTAAGCCGGCAACAGAGTTTGTAGAAGGCAAAGGCTGGGTTGATGAGGATGGGAACGTTGTGGAAGTTGTGAAGAAGAAAGAGCTGCCAGTGACGACGCCGAAGCGCAAGGCGTCTTCCAAAAAGGAGGCTGTCGTACAGGAGGAATCGGATGATGACGACACCAGCAGCAGCGGAACGTCGGAGGAGGAAGAGGAGGGGGGAGACTCTGACTCGGATGAATCCGAAGCGGTGAATGTCACAAAAGTTGAGGCTGAAGAGAAGGACAATGGAAGTGGTTCAGAAGGAGACGATACATCCAGCGATGACTCCTCTAGCGAAGAGGAAGAAGACCCAGCATCATCTCCAACCAACAAAGCCGACAACACGAGGCCCATGTCATCCAGCTCCTCTAGAAGCCTCAAGATCAAAATCCCACCGCCACCCACTACCCCATCGGCTAGCAAAGTCCACCCCCTCGAAGCGCTCTACAAACGGGCCAAGCCCTCCGAAACAACAGCAACGCAAACGCCGGCGCAGGAATCCCAGCCATTTAGCTTCTTTGGCGGCGGCGACGCCGACGACGACGACATTGAAGACGGACCCGCGGCTCCCTCCATACCCATGACCCCATACACCCGACAGGACTTTGAATGGCGAAACGTCCGAAGCGCCGCGCCAACCCCGGACACCGCGCACCCCAGTCGGACGAGCTTTCCACAAGCAGACGACGTGGACATGGACGATGCCGCCGAAGAAGAGGAGGACGAGGATCAGGATGGTGAGGGAGGCGCCCCGGCCCAGGGACAATCGGGATCGAGTGATTTCCAGACATGGTTCTGGGAAAACAGGAGGGACTTGAACAAGTCGTGGATGGATAGAAGGAAGGGCGCGGCAAAGGAGAAGAGACATAGAGAGAACAAAGCGAGGGCTTCCAAGGCGATTTAGCCTCTTGGTGGAGTTGTGGGATTTCTCGAGTATACACGGTACTTAATAGAAGGACTCCTCATACTGAGGTGTGTTTGGTTATCATCTCGCGGCTGCCACGTGCCGGTGTGCCTTTGACTTTGACGAGGTTGCCATTTGAAGAACAACGCCTGGCTTCTCACAGGGGTGCTCTCTGATGCGACTCCAGCGCGGCTACCCTAAATAACTTACACAGTCTGTGGCGGAATATATTCGCCCACCAAGTATACGCTAATACATAATCTACAGTAAAATATATTTACCCACCAAGGAGTGTATAATGCACCAATTTCTTATAATATAAACTAAAGCTTGATGGGAAGTTGCCTGGTCTGGAGAGTTAGAAAAAGTATTCCCGGGTCCATGATTTCTCTGTCATTGATGCAAGCAATTATGGGAAATCAAGCAAGCTGAACCATCACGGACGCCTTCTGTATCAAATATAGAGTCCTGTAGGGATTCGTAAGAAGTATATTAGGTACTAGATGCACTATTTTGGCTGCCTGTGCCTAGTGTCAAATAACTGGCACTCTGCTACTGCCCTTGGTATGGTCCATGTCGTTTTCGCATACGTGCGGCTGATTATCTTCTGAGCAGGTGTCATGTCGTTTTCTCCCGACAACCATTTTACTCCCCGTCAGTGCTTCATAAATCCCCAAGTTATCTGCCGTTGGCGGCTTCAAAGTGCGTTCCTTCACAATGCTGTCTCTGGATCGAACGTTGGCATCAGTCCCAGCTTCCGGCGAAGGCGATTTTCTACGCTCAGCAGACCAAACGTTCTCATCTGGCCGTGGATATGCCTGCTGGTTGAGATCGTACTGGGTGTTTCGCCGAAGCTTCTCAAGTATTCGAGGGATGAAACCTTCCTGGCTGTCCCAAGGCGAATCATAGGAAAGGGGAACCTGAGAACTGCGTCGTGGATAGGCAGATGAGCTAATGGAGCTTCCTGGGCGGATTTTGCCAGTAGAAGTCGAGCCATTGGTTGCTCGACGCTCGTGAAGGTAAAGATTAGTGCAGTAGAAAGGATCTTTGTCGAAAATACTGTCGTCACACGGTATGGCTATGGGCTGGGGAGCTTGCCAAGCTGCTTCTGGAGACGCGGGAGCCCTACCACTGTGTGCATCAACTCCTCGACGGTATAAGTCAGATGTTGGGGCTTGAGTAAGTTGTTCGATTTCAGCGGGTGGGTTGAGCCAGTCGTTTGTGCAGTGACGTGGGCGTAGCTCGGGGAACGAGGTTATGTTTGACTCCTCATCAGTCGATCGAGATATTCGCTTCTGAAAAGCGAGGTTCGATGACAGTGATTCCAACCGGTTTGTAAGATACTGTGTCGTCGTTTCTTCGGGGGTCAGAGTACCTTGAAATTGAGCAGACTTGGATATAGGCTGCCTTTGTATGCGTTTGTGATTTGAAGGTTTGTTGGATGCCTTTGCAGACGACCTGGAACGCGATGGCCTGTTAGCGCCAGACGATATATTTTCTGACCACACTATCTCGGATACGCTCCCACGAGACAATATGGTAGTTGTTGTTGACAAGTCATCTTTCAAATAGCCTGCAGATAGTTCTGTACTGTTCCATTTTGTGTGAGCGAAGAACGTCTTTGGCACACTGATGGTGGTTGCGGGTTCAGCGACGGCAGAGAGACGCGGGGTGATGGAATTTCTCTTGCTATCGAATTCCAGAAGCATGGGGCTGCTCTGGCTCGGATTCTTATCTGAAATGTTTTCACGTTTGATGCTGTCTTGGTATGCCGCCTCCTGTTGAAACATATCTAGTACAATCTTCACAACTTCTCTGATGTCGGTTTTGTTGACAAAGTAAAGATGATTTCCATCGTCGACTTGGATCTCTGATTCACCACCAAGCGTCACGGATGCGTGATGAAGCCGTCTAGGTCGCAGATGGTCCTGGATTTTGGTTTCCGCTTGCTTCACGACGTTTTGACAACGGACGCAGTCGCTAAAGGCAGATCCACCAGACGCCTGGTAGATTAACGAGCCTGATGGTCCATATTGGGGGACTTTTTGATCGCCCGAAGCTCTATGGTAGATATTCGAACAGTGATTGTGATAGGTTCGTGGGCCATTATCTTTACTAGGGCCCATCGCTTAGTTTTGCTTGGAATTCGTCTGCTGGAATGCTACCAAGGGCAATACGTCTTTTAGGTTCTGCGTGAATCAAGATCGTCTCGGCCGGATCTCAACGTCAAGTGGTTGAGTAAGCTCCATAGGGTACAAGAATTTGTTTTGTAGTGGGATGTATTTTGAGCTTGTTGGAGAACTGTTGCCTCACGATACGTTCTGGCGCGACAGCAACGTGCTACCTCCGCTCCTTCCAGCTCTTGGTCGTTGCACACGAAGGGAGGGAACAGCTTTCAGACCCAAAATACTACTTGA